TGTGTGTGTGTGTGTGTGTGTGTGTGTGTGTGTGTGTGTGTGTGTGTGTGTGTGTGTGTGTGACATTACACATTCGCAATAGCGATTCAGCTGAAAAACTCACGTCTAATACTAAATTAATATCTGAGTGTCTCACCTGAGGCGAATTTTAAGTAACGATTATTAAAATACGATGTAATTGCGATTTCAAAAAACTTGCATCTTTAACTTTGAATTAAAATCTAAATATTTTACTTGAGGCAGATTCCAAGAAATAATCATTTATATGGCCCTTAAACTGCGTGTGAAATACTTTTAAAAACATAACTTCAAGAGAAGCTATTGTATTTTTGTACTATGTTCACAGCGATACACAGAAAAATACACACTGCATTCAAGTAAATGTTTGAAATAATTTTGAAATAATTTTGAAATAATTTTTTAATTAATTTTTGAAGTAATTTTGAAGTACTCCATAAGTTTATATATCCACAAATCTATCTTCATAAGCATTCAATTTACTCAAAATATATTCTAAATTCTAATAAGTTTAGTATTTCAATTAAGGGTATTAAATTAAAACAAAACTTCTCGATTTATTTACTACATAGAGCCAAAACAACTTTTTTTTTGTGTGTGTGATAAAAATTATAAATATTCTTGTAAAGAAAATAAATTCTTTTTCGAATATATAATAATGAGCTTTTCTAAAATTTGTGATAAATATATTTTTTTAAATTATTACCAACAAAATATTTTTTGTTGGAGATAACCATTACTCTCGAAAAAAGGAAAGTAAACGGTAATCGTTTTTCTTAATAGTGGAATAATAATTTCCTGTGTATATACGAGTAGTTATGTTATCAACTTGTCTTCACGAGTCTTCTCTGTTGCAGGTCCTCAAAGGCTTGAGTTACTTGCGGGACAAACACGCTATAATGCATCGTGACGTGAAGCCGAGCAACATTTTGGTCAACAGCGCAGGAGAGATTAAGATCTGTGATTTTGGTGTTTCTGGGCAATTGATTGATTCGATGGCTAATTCGTTCGTCGGCACACGAAGTTATATGTCGGTAAGCAGTGAAACATACTCATCTGCAACATACTTGGCGTTCACGTTTATGCTTTTAAGTCTCTGAATTTCTTCGAGTCTTACTTCGATAACATTCTCTAAATTTTTTTCAAATAGAATAGCACTCAAAAATTGAGTGATAACTCATATAAAGTGAATTCTTCCACTTTAACTTGTCGGGTAAATATTTTCACACGAAATTGACGAGAGAATTTCATGTACACAGACTTTGTACTTAGATTACTAGTATTTTCTAATCATACACATTTGTCTCTGGGTATTAATATAAAGCTATCACCATGATAGATATACTGCTTTGACACATCTTGTGTCCGTTTCTATATATAATCAATAAATAATAGATCAAAATATTAATTAGATTTTAATAAAAGTTCCAATAATCTAGTTGCATAACATGTTAAAGCTATTATGTTAGTTATGTACTCCATCGTCACTGAAAACAATAGACTGAGGAATTCACTCGTACAGATTGAGAATTTATTCTAGATTTGAATCAAATCCCACAAAGTGACGACAAAAGATACATTAACGTCAATAATACGTCACTGACTATTTCATTTGATGTCATCACCGTTGCTGAATTTATAATTGTAAATTGACAATATTTATATTTACCATTTAAATAAATTTTCATTCGTTTTATGAGTGAAAAGAACTGACAGAAAAGATATGTTTACGAATGTGTTTTCGGGAGCGATTAACTTCGAGACTTTTCAGCCAGAGAGACTACAAGGGACACATTACTCGGTACAGAGCGATATCTGGTCATTGGGATTATCACTCGTCGAAATGGCGATCGGCCAGTATCCTATTCCGCCACCGGACGAGAAGACCTTAGCCTCTATATTCGGCCCACAGGCGTGTCAGCCGCCCGCGGAAAATTGCGCGACAAACAGCGTGCCCACACCGACTACTCAGTCACCAGGACACAGTCAGTGTTTCACTCAAATTTTAACTGTTTGAATGCTGTAGGCGTTCAAAATAAGAATATTGCTACGAATTATCGGCGTTTTCACAGGCTCTTTTATTTACACGATTATTCAGCTTGTTCGCAACATTTTCAGTTATAAAATTGTTATTGTTTTAAGATCAGGACACCAATTCGCTTCCGCGCTACTCAATACTCACCAATTAGAGGAAACTTCTGACATTCTCGTTTAATTCCGGCGCCGACAAATTACTGTTAATACGTTCCGTGCCAGATTAATTTTACTTTACCTTTCGTCACGTGGATCACTAGTGCGGTACGAAACATGTTGAGCTTAATCTACAACGTGCTCTTGGCTTTCTTGTTTTCTGTCTTTTTCTGGCTTAATGTTTGAGTTAGAAGGAGATAAAGAGAAAGAAACAGGAAGCAAAGAACATATTGTAGATAAAATTTTAAAGACTCAGTCCTGGGTGAATTTTCGTGACACGAAAAGAATTTGAAGAGGTCTAGAAGTAATTGAAGAAGGATGATATATTATTGACTATTAGTCATATCCGATATAAATATCTGGATATTTAAGTTGTAAGAAATATTAATTTCACAATTTATTCTAATGAAGTATACATTTATAGATATACATTTACATAAGATATACAAGAATAAAATTTATATAAGATATACATTTAATATATAAGATATACACATGAAATATATAAAATTACATTTCTATAGTTATTACACACGCTGATTCGATGCAAAATCTATCGACAAGAGGTTTTTAAGGGAATGAAAGAAGGGACAAAATTTTTCCTATATGCTAAATCTTACAAACTGACAATCTTTACTCTTATCTCGTCAGTTGTTCCAGTGACAGTGTTTTTTAGAGAGAAAAACAGAATATTTTTTTTCAAAATCCTCGTTGGATGTCCAAAATGTCGAGTCGATGTTTATTCGTAAAAATGATTAATTCCTCGAAATTGGATAGCTTTGTTTTATATTTAATTTTTGACAAGCACGAGACAAACCTTTTGTACCAGTCTAACACTTTGTCGCAAACACGATTGTTTACCGATCATTTTTTCGTCGTGCAGGCGCAAGCAGTCCAAGACCCATGGCCATATTCGAGCTGTTGGACTACATAGTCAACGAGCCGCCCCCGAAACTACCGCCCGGAGTATTTAGCGACTCTTTTACGGATTTCGTCGATCGCTGTCTGAAGAAGAATCCAGCCGAGAGAGCAGACTTGAAAACACTAATGGTACGTGTCCTGAATTGAAAAAAGTGATCTGTTCTTTTCAGTTGCACAGCTGCACTGCTGAACTGGTGCAGTTAAGTTAGAGTGAGAAAAGATATATTTGTCTCACTTTAACTTATTGCACCAGTTCAGCAGTGCAGCTGAAAAGAACGGACCACATATACGTCAGGAAAAATTTGTCAGATTTCACAATATCTTCTCTCTTTTAGAATCACGAATGGATAAAGAAAGCAGAGTCGGAGAACGTGGACATCGCCGGATGGGTGTGCCGCACGATGGACTTGCAGCCGACTACGCCAACGCGCTTAGCAAACGTGCAGTCCTGAATAGATGTAACTCTTACATACTTGGCTACGTATATGCGCGTTCGGTATTCCTAAGTCACTCTTAAGTTTATCTTAGGTTCTACTTCGGTCGGACAGTGGCGTTTATCCGTTGTACTCCCTTCGGTAGCGGTATCTTTTTAACGAAATTAACGCATCGAGATTCGGTGCGTTCGGTCGTGCGACCGTTCGCGTCGCCAATTGTTCTCGAGCAGAGCGTCGAGCACCGAGCGACTCGTGGTTACGTGGAATTTCCCCGCAGAAACGGTTGTTAGGACCAATCGATCATAATACACCGTGTTACGTCATCTGACTCGTCGCTCTTTTGATTTCACGGGAAGAAGCGTAATTCAGGCGTAATATATAGGTAACACGATCTCGGCAATATTATCGTTGAGAGCTACATCGTCGTTGAGATGATTATTTGCACGCAGCACGCCACTGTACCAAGTATTAATTTCGAAGGTTTCACTTTTATGTGTTCGTTTTATGCTTCTGTTGAAAGTATGTAAGACAAGAAGAGAGTATATCGCAATATAAGTTTATTATATTAGAGACTCATGGGCAAATTGTGTTCCCCGTGATACGATATTTAGGATACACGAATGAGCATCGAACTTATAAAAGAGAGAAAGAGAGAGAGAGAGAGAGAAAATATTGAGAAAGAAGAAAACAAGAAAAGAAAAATTGAGTAGATCAAGTTACTTGTATAACATTTGTACCTGACATCCGTAGAAGCGTTATTTACACAATCAAAAACTATTCTATCGTCACGTTGAACTGTTGTTTTTTCTTAACAATGCATGGCTGCGATTAAGCGTGATTTTGAGTCTTATTTTCGTTCTTCTACACAAACGAGACACGTCTCTCACCGCGGTGACTCATTTAAATAGAGGACAAAAGGAAAAGACAATGCGAGAGGAACGTTTCCACGATATAGATTAGACGCTGCGAATTGATTCATACGCGATTATCGAATTCTTGCGAATTCTTATAGTGATACGAATCCAGATATTGTAACGGACTCCTTCGGTACATCGACAGATGTACAGAACGAGATGCTTGATACAATTTTTCACGTAATCGCGGCCTTATATTACGAATAATACTTCGTAACACGGTTTGAATACTTCGTAACACGGTTTGATCTACATTCACATACTCTGTAGTATTTAACTGTGAATCCTTTTGCTGCAAAGGATAAACAGTCACGTCGCATCACCATCTTATCGGTCGACAGTTTGAGGAGTCTCGTTTGAGTTTCGGCGAGAGGATTGACCATTAGTGTATAACTTAAGTGCACCACGAATCTGTTCGTGTGCAGTTCTTACAAAGTGCATTTGAAAAGTATCGAGCTACTCCGTGGTTACCAGTGTAAGTTAACTTGAGATTCACGAATATTCGAAGAGTTGCTACAACGGAGGGGTCTTTCATTTCGCCGTTATCTCTCATGTTATATGTGTCATCGTGAATACGCCGTCGTGATTCTCCGCTCATATTTAAGCAGATTAATTTTTGTAGTACTTAATGTTGTTACAGCATCATTGGTAAGAGAGAGAGAGATTTAGTTTATTCGTCGGAGTAAAGTGCGAGTTATAACGCATTAACGACAGTGCAATAGAATCATCGCGGGACGCACGACTATATATTGTACATACATTCAAATCATGATATTATGATCGATTTATGATTCGTTGAAAACTTCTTATTCCGGAACACGATGTATTTTGTAGATGCAAGTCTGTAAGTTAGTCTCACGTGTAATAGTAGCCATCTCCGAGTTGGCTTAAAAATCGTCGGATAGTGTTACGAGTGTATCGTGATATTTGTAAGCCGAGCGAGATGTTCCCCCCTCCCCTTCTCCCTTCCCCCTAGCATGCGCAGAAGCGTAAGACGCTCAAAACGTATCATATGTTCAACTCGCGATTCATAGTAACAACAATAATAATTATTATAATTGTGTGTATATATATATATGAGAAACAAACGCATATAATGCCATTTGTTGTAAAGTGATCTCTATATCTATTATAGGAGGACAATATACACATTTAGCTGCAAAAAGATCACATCGTAAAAGGTGTATAAGATATGTCAATATAATTTTAGCGATTTTATCAAGCGATAAATCATAATCTCGTGTAAAGGCTCATAATTCCTACCACTTATTAAAATACGTGCACATTCCTCGTTGCAAATATGTGCATAATAACTGCAGATGTATGAATTCACTGTCTAAGCGTCGTAATTATAAGAACAATAAAATTATATCAATATTGCAAGTGTATATAATTCCACATTTAACATGTTCAACTTACGACAAGATATCGAAAGCACGAGTTCACGTTTCTTGTCTACTGCATTAGCCATACAATGTGCAGTATCGATGATCTCTATAATATTATTTAATCATGTTATAACTTATGGTTGTTTTTTTTTTAATCTTCTCGATGTGACAGCATCGGACGTAAAAAAACGGCAGTGGGTGGTCAGATACATCTGCTATACTCTGCTCTCTTACAGCTTAAACATCTTATTTTTACACCGATTGACACACAACTAGTATATTATGAGAGATTGTAAAAGTTAATAAGTTCCTAACAAATTATCTTAATAAAATAAATGTAAGAAAAATACAAGTACATAAACATGTTGAAACACGTACGAGTAATATTATTGTAAAATAGTTTTTAAAAATTTGCCTTTAGACTTAGGATACTTAAAAATAGAGCGATTTTCTTGCAATATTTATCAAGAACAGAAAGCAAATTATTTAAAATTGGTCCATTGGGACACTAGGAAATTCTCTTTTTCTAGCAATTTTCATGAAAGAGATCTGAGGATTTATACCAATCTAGATAGAAACAGTTGCAATCAAAAGCTTGTATCAACATTAAATCACAAAAATGCAATTACGTTTTCAACTGAGATTTTAACTTCTGAAATATTTTATTTATGTACTTTATATTGCAGCACTACCGTGAAAATTAGAGTTCGAATAAAGACGATTATACACACATTTGAAAACAAAAACATTTGAAAAAATATTTATTATTTATTTGTAAACACACATCACAATTAGCTCTTCGTACTCGAAACAACTCAATATAAATAAATATAATAAATCTAATCTGAAAGATTATCTAAAAATTATCTAGAAAATTATCACTGATTTGCAAGATGCCGTCAGGGGCTTACAATCCTCGGATTGAATTTCATTGGCTCAAGAAATGAATCATTTGATAGACACGGGTCCAGACAAGTATTTGAAGAGTAGCAGAAAGTGGTGAATAAAACGATGGAAGATATTTCAGTCGGGTATTAACACACATATACCACGTTGTTACTATTAATCTTCGCCGAACGGTGTCTAGATCCGAGTTGAACCAGGCATCGTAGTCTGTGAGGTTGACGGAATTGCCAATATTACGAAAGTTAATTAGAGAAACATACGACTAAAGAAACATACTAAAGATTCAACGTTGAATTTCCACATTTACAACCATGTAGATCTCTGTAAAGTTATGCAATCTCCTCAATACGGTGAACAACCGTATGGATGTTAATCTCATAACATACGATTAAATTAGGGACAATTTTTCATATAAATATAAATTTTAATATCGAATTTCTATATTCACAGCCCTCAAAAAGAGAAAGCAACATAATTCCTTTTACAAAATGACTAGTATGTTAAATAATTCTACAAATTCACAGCACCTCTTTATTGCACGCTTATCGCTTTGGCATTAGAAACACGATGAGCCAAAGACGTTATTTGAGGCTAAAGGATTAATGAATTGATGTTATTGTACTCGAGGGTGGAGATAGGAGAGCCGGAGCTGATTACTTTCCGTTAATACTTTCGTGAAATGAGAAATCGCGATTTATGTTCAAGAAACCATTCCACTTGAAACGTTAAATCTTTTAAGCAGATCTATTTAAAAAATCTAAATTTAAGGAATCGATGTGGCTTGTACGCAGGCTTGCAGAAACTTTCCCGGCCCATGAGAAGCGCGCCAAAAGGAAATGTTTCTTGTCATAAGTATATTAACAAAAAGTGATCAATTTCACAATTCCCCTGCCGGATGTAACATCAATTCAACGATACCCTGTATACGACATATTGACATTAACGGTTTGCAAAAACGGAGATATTGCATGTTCATCTGTTAAAACAATTTGTGTTCCCCAAATAAACATTTTTAATACCAAGTTACTAGGCCGTTTATCGCAAATTTGCCTAGCAGCCTCGTAAGTGGCATTCGTAATGCTACTACATTTGGAAAGATTTAGTAGTTGTAATTGGGGTGAGGATGCAAGAATATTGCGTATCCCATCGTCAGTTATTAATGGACATGAGTGACATTCAAATTCTTTTAGGTTCGCCAGGTTCTTCAAGCTTTTATCGGTAATGTTAGTTAAAAGATTGATGTATAAGTATTCCAATTTTGGCAATGTTGTAATAGCTGCTAATCCAGCATCGTTCACGTTGTAGCACCCTATCGGATCAAAGATCATACATTTGAAATATTTAGAAAGTATATATCTAGAAAGCAACAAAAACGCAAAAAATATACAACATTACAATTTACCTGAAATATTTACGTAAGTAATCTGCGGACAACTTAGTGCCGCACTAATGAGTTGCTCGTCTGAGAATGCGGTGAAGTGTGTGACTTGCAGCATTCGCAGATTAACAATATTGGTAAATTGTAGCATCTTTGCATTTTGTAGGTAGGAGAAGTACCCGTGAATTCGTAATTCTCTTAGATTCTGACAGCGTTTGCTGATAACTTCCAATGTTTTTTCACCAATACTAGAGCAACTACATATTTCAAGATACTCCAAATTTTCGAGCTTCGCTAATGCCTGTGCCGAAATATTAACGTTACGTACACATCAACCCCAGTTGACGTAAAAAGGAAAAAAGTAGAAAAAGGCCTCTGACTTACTATGGAAAAATCATCATCGACGATATTATGGCATTGGTCTACTATAAGTGTGCGCATTGTTTGGGCCGGCAGGCTCGATAGGCACTTGCCCGAGATGTCACCATTGGAACGTATCGCGAAGTGACTTAAACCTCTATATTCTTTGAAAACATTCTTCAAATCACTATCCAAAACGTGTGTCGACGCTCCCAAACTGAGCTTAGTTATTTTTTTACATTTCTTCAATAATGCGGACAGACCCGTCGTACAAGTTGGTAATGCAGAAACGTCGATATTTGTAAGATTGGGACAAAACCTCGCGATCATGCTTAATGTACCTATGCCTAAGTAATTGGGTACTTCGGATAGATCTATTTGTGTTAGGAATCTGCCACATTTCAGCAACACCTTCCGTAACACAGCCGTACTGATATGGTATATTATTGGTTTGCCCCATATATGATCCCATGTAAAGTGTGAGATATCTAATCTTTTCATTGTGCGCCAAGATTCTTGACTTAAGACTTTCCAACGTTTGCATACTACAAAAGCAATAATAAAGTAATACATATATAGGTTTCTTATGGTGAATTCGATTAGAAGCACAAGTGCACACTAGGACAGTTTCATAGTCTGTTTTTATATTTAAGATCGTTTCAAGTTCGTCACCAAATACTCCACAACCAGTGCAACAATTTATATAGCATTTGAAGATGAATATGACAATTTTTGAATATAAGGGCTGTGGCACATAGAAAAACTTAAGCAATAAGACGTAAGTAGTAAGCAAATTGACCAATCACAGTCATCGATTCTTGGATTGTAAAAAAAATCAGCGACTGTGATTGGTCAATTTGTTTACTGCTTAAGTTTTTCTGCGTGCCACTAGCCTAAGATAAAACTCTATAAATACAGCTAAGAACAATTATAAAAGAAAGTCCATTGTATTTATTAAAGCTCTTACCTCTTTCTACACGGACCCTGTCAGCAATTAATAAATATTTAAAAATATGAATCAAGCAATCATCATTCAGCATATGAATGGGTGCACTTTTAAAGTATTCTTGTGTATATTCCTGAGTATAATTTATGCCAAACTTTTTCTCAGAAAATTTAAATGCTAAACTATCAGGTTGATTCCAAGAATCTGCAACCATTATTCTTAAGTCTCTGTTGTGCAACCTTATTTGCTTACTACATCCATCTTTCAAAGCTCTATAAATAGTAAAATTATAAATATAAATTGCATAATAAATGGCGATCAATGTTAATGTCTTCTTTGCTAAAATTTACTTCATTGCACTTGCAACATCATTAAATGTGACAAAAGCATAGTTTCTTCTTCCTGCATTTCTACACAAATAACAACCCTCAACCTCGCCATATGCAGAAAAGAGATTTTTCACATCTCTGAAACTGGTCTGTAATAAAGTTCAATCAGTTAAATAGTATATATATTATTGTGGTAGGAAAATGCAATTTTAAGCTCTTCAGTACGACTAGAAAAATTTGTAATGTAATTAAAAATCTGTCGTATTAATGCAGTAAGACTGATATCAAGTCCTTCAAGGATCATAACTAAGAAATAAAATACATATTCCTAACATAAATAAAAGATTTCACAAAAATATTTGCATATACAACTCTAGAAGCTAAATTTCTCAACTGTATAAATACTTTCTGTGAATTAGCATAAGTTCTCATCTTTGTTGATTGTTTCAATAGTATATTTCATCTATTACTTTCTTTTTGTTATAATAATATTGAAAAATATAGCATATTTATTGTATTATATTCGCTGTTAATTAATTGCTGTTAATTTAATTGCTAATTAAAACTAATTTTCTAAAAGTGCTCTTTCTAAAAGGGCTCTTTCAAGATCTTTCCTGCATGAATACTTTTTGCACTCACTGTATAAACTGTATAATTCTATAAAGATTTCTCATCAGGATATCTTTATGACAAGTCGTGTTACGAAATCCTTTTTGTTGTCTTTAGTCGTCTAAGGTCGTACCGAAGAGGTTACTACAATTGTTACTACAATGAAGAAAAACAAGAACATGAAACAAACCCTCTCGGCTAAATTACCAATAAACAGTTTTCGTATTGGTACGCCGTCTACGGATGTTGAAAATAAGTCATCTGCGTAAGAATCAAACGAACGTGAGATTCGATTTCATAGGTAAAATACATCCCAGTATTGTCCAGATGACAATTTGCTCAACGACTCACCGTTTATGTACGCAGTTATATTACGATACAATTGCGTGTAACGAGTTTCCAAAGCTTCCATCGTTGACTCTATTCTTGTTATTCTATCAAGCTTTAGTTAATATTTGTTCTACCAATAACTTTCCAATATCTTCAGCAATTTTTCTTACACAGGACACATGAGTAATCGCACATGGTATAAGTGAAATGACACAGAGACGTCATAGGCTGCGTTCGAGGAGACGCTATTTAACGCTATGAGTGTCTCTGTCTTGTTTGTTCCTGAAAGTTGAACAAGGACAGAAGACGCTCATAGCGCTAAATAGTCTCTCCGAACGTAGCCATATGCAGGATTCATACTCCGCGTCCAATGTCCGATGTACGACATCCGATATCCAATAGGAGAACAGCTTTATAATAGAGAATTCAATTCTCCATTGGAAAGCTATTTTTTTATTAGATATCGTACATCGGACATCGGACGCGTGTGAATCCTGCATTAGGTTGATGTTACATGTGTCGTACGACAAACTTTTTGGATGTGTTCATTGGTTGATGAAACTTAGAAATACTCTATTCGCCAACCAATAAACGTATCCGAAAAGCTTGTCGTACGACACATGTAATATCAGCGTTATGCTAGATTCACACTGGACGCGATTAGAGATGAGCGATGTCCAATGAGAGTGTTGCGTACTGCAAATAATAATTTTATTATCTTCTTTCATATATTATATAATGATGACTACTGGTCGGAGATTAGTTGTCTATTTTACACTGGAAATAATTATTAAACTATTATTAAATTAAAGTTTAAATTTTTAGCAAGTTTAAGTTAATAGTGACTAATAAATGTTTTTTAAATTAGATGGTGGCGTAGACCACTCAATAAATTGTTTATCCAGCAAGGAGCTTTCATGAATTTATTTCATGAAACATTTTTGTATTGTTTGACACTTTTATCATACAGGCAAGGATTTGCCTGTACAATTTGTATTATTTCTAAATTATCAATATTCATGATTTGTACAGAATCACTATTAATTAAATACGGCACAATAATCACAACCATCCATTTACCATCAGCCATTAAAAACGTCTATTCATATAGAGCGCTCTCTTTAAGACAATCAATGCGAAGCATTTGATTGGTCAGTCGTAAGAAAATCGCTAGTCGATAGTCTTAAAAATTGGCTGTTGCCCAGCTTCACCAATTCACCGATTCCGACTCACCGACAGCCTTTCCGACTCACCGATTGAGGCTTAAAGCCCATTCTACAATTGCGTGAACGTGGTTATAAGTGATTACGACAACCAATCAGAGTAAAGCAATCAGTGAATAAAACATTCGGATTGGTTGACTCTTACGTCACGACTACGATTACGCAATTGTAGAATGGGCTTTAGACTACCGACTACCGACTCATTGTAGACCCAGCTTTAAGGGTCATCTACAATGGCTGTATAAATATGGCTGTAAGACTGTAAGACGCGAAATAAATTATTGTCATTCGCTGACAGCTCACGTTACAGCCTTAGGGTGCCGTCCCATTGAGCACGGATCGGAACGCCGGATCGGATTTCTTACTATAATGAGGGTTCCGTTCTCTAGTTCCATTCCGTAAAAGTTTCCTCTACCAGTCCCATGTAGCAAAAACGGAACGGAATGGCGCGTCGGTCGCAAATAAATATGATTAATTCGTCAATATTTCGTTATTTTGACGCGACAGAATTAATTATATACATAATTTATGCAATTATTTTGCCGATAACATTGTCATGAATATTCTGAAATATTTAATTGAAGAGTGAAATATATTTTATAACTAGAAATCCGTTCCGTTTTTGCTACATGGGACTGGTAGAGGAAACTTTTACGGAACGGAACTAGAGAACGGAACGCTCATTATAGTAAGAAATCCGATCCGGCGTTCCGATCCGTGCTCAATGGGACGGCACCCTTACAGCCATATTCTTACAGCTATTGTAGAATGGCCTTTATGTTCTATGCTCTCATCACTACACTGTGGAGTCGCTGCAGTCACGGTTAATAACGATCGGGCGTGTTCGGCCAAGCTCGCCGCGGGCCCCTCTGGCTTACTCGAATTTACTTGTTGCACGTTGTGCCTCAGCGTTTCATTTTCGCAAGCACCGTGAAAGAAGTCGAGTAGCCCAGCTGACCGAACACACGCGCGCACGCACGTAAGCGGACGAAAAATGGCGAACTACCATAAGCCGGAAGCGAAAACTATTCAAGAATTGCGGGACATTGCCGTCAAGCTGAGAATTCACTCGGTCGAGGCCACGCAAGCCAGCAAATCCGGGTGAGTTTTTTCGCGACTTCTGCAACGGCTCAGCGATAACGCGCCCGTGCGCGGTATATCAAACTGCAAACGCAAGCGAAATAATCCTTGCGAATGAGCGGCGATAAGCGAGCGTTACATGAGTAGCGAGGCGCCAATTACGAGCCGTGGTCCTCGTGGTAGCTTCACGTTCGGAAATTCGCGCGAGACGCTATATCGATCGAGACGACCGTTGTGTTTCATGTCGAGACATTGGTCCTCAAAAAGTGCCTTCCAACGTGACTTGCAACCCTTCTGATTGGTTAATAAGTACACTCAGGTTGCGTTCGCTTTGGATGCTTATGTGCTGTAAGTGTTATTCTATCTTTTCCCCGCATGTAATGAGCGATAAAAATAGAATAACGCTTACAGCGCGTAAGCGTCCAAAGCGAACGCAGCCTTAGGAGCACTTTAAATCGACAAACGTAACTTGAACTGGTGCAGACTAGTGCAACAAGTCAGAGTGAAACAAAATATATTTGTCTCACTCTAACTCATCGCACCAGTCTGCACTAGTTCAGATAAGATGATTTTTGACGATCGTTTGGTACATGTACCTGGTTGTCATTGGTCTAATTTACATCAAACATTTAATATATGTACTAAATATCTGTACAGTATAAATGTCCAAAATATAATTCTACTCTTACAAAAAAAATACGAAAAAATCCTCAATTTTGGATGTTAACACTCAAATGTTGGTGTTTATCCCCAGTTTTTAGGTGTTTACACTCAAAATTGAGGGTTTTTTCGTATTTTTTTCGTAAGGATAGAGACATCACAGAGATATCTGGATATCTTTGGAAGATATTTTGGATATTTGTGTTGTATAAATATTTAATACGTATATAAAATGTTCAATGTAAACTTGCCCAATAACAACCTACATATATACTAAACGATCGCCAAAGATCACTTATAGTTCAGCTAAAAAGAACAGACCTATAGTTTAGAATCAAGGCCGTTGTATCTATCTCCCCTCTCAGCCACACCGTGCTATATTTTATTACACACGAAATGCATATATATATATATATATATATATATATATATATATATATATATATGTGTGTGACTATGTGTTTTTGCTTTTGAGGAGATGAAGGGAAAAAAAGAATAAAACATCACGACGTATTTGAAAGCGCAGCTATCGAGTGCTAGTTTCTACTTCGGTTAAACCTCATTCTAAGATTAGATCCTATTCTATTCTAATCGACGTTAGTATAACTGGCATTATCATTTGTGTTTGATGATTACATATTATGTCGATGACATCATAAATTTCTTCTTTTCAACCACTCTTTACACCAGACTTCTTCGTCGTTTCATTTAGGGTTATATTCCAAAACGTTTCTTGCGAGGAAAATTTTACTGAAAATCTGTAGTATATGTTACATATGAAAACTATAGATTTTCAAGAAAATTTTCCTGAAAAAGAACGTTTTGGAATGTAACCCAGATATGGGAAATAGAAAAGAAGCATTTAAAACGAAAGTTTGCCAAACTGCCTAAGAATTAGAGAGAGCATTCTTATCTCAGCAAGAATATATGTAGTTTTGCTTATATTCGCGATCTAATTATCGCAGTTCTTCGCGATAAGAAAATCACGCCAGTTGTGAGTAACGTAACGGAGTTATTCATAATTAACTGTTACGAATCGATGCGTATAATTTACGCAAAGCGCACAGCATTAACATATTACTTAACTGGAGCATGCGACCTTGACAAGTTAGTCGTTTTATATTCAGCTGACTTGTTCCAATCAAATAAAAAGTATTTTGAGAACATTTTTACAATTTTTTAGACGTAAGATACACGATGAATATCAAGCGAAGTGTCAGACGAGTTTTGCAGAAAATAATTTCGCGAGACAGGAATTGAAGTTAATTCGATCTTGATGAGTCGAATGTGAGAAACACGGTGTTCCCTCGGAAATGTTATGAAAGAAGACATAATATGAAAAAGTTTAAAATGCACTCCTCTTGTACATTACGTTTCAGGACATCTCATATACAGGGTGTCTAACGATAAATGTATATATAGATTAGATTATCATATATATAGTTATCTATAATCTATAAATCAATATCAATATATATCAATATCATGTATATATAGAAGTATCAATATCATGTATATATATCAATATCATGTATATATAGATTAGATTAAATTGAACGTAAAATTCTTTTACTATTTTACAAATAACCACAGAATTTTGAATTATTAATTAATTTAAAAAAGGTAAAATCATTTTCGGTGCTTTTTTCTCTTTTTAATGAAAGCTAGTGAAATTTAGAACAAACCTTCCTTCTTCTAAACCAAAAACCTGAGGAAGTTAGATTTACAAATATTTTTCGACTAAACAATTCCGATATGGATGCAGAAGCTCGAAACTTTTTACTTTAAAAACAATAATTAATTAAAAAATTAACAACAAAATAGTAACAATTTAATTTTATTTAATTCAGTACCCACATAGCACGTAATATTACATCCCATATAGCACAAATCTCTAAAAGACTTCTTAAAGAATTCTAAAAGTGTTCTGGAGGACTTGGGAACTCTTTTGGAACTCTTTAAGAAATCTTTTAAAGATTTGTGCTATATAGGATAGTGTCACAGTAATATTGCGTGCTATGTGGGTAGTTTTTATTTACTAAAATTAGATACAATCTCAATTAATTTTGATTACATTAAGGTAAGACTTAATGAGACTAGTCAGGTCTGTATGACTTTTATAAAATCTATTATCAAGGTTTGAATACTTAATTTCAACATCAACATTTATGCCTGATGTTAAATTAGATGAGATATGAAATGAGATGTCTACTGTTTGATTGAGAGACATTTCTAAATCTAATTTTATATCTGATTAAAAAAGGAAGTAAAAGATAAAAATTTAATTTGACAGAATTATTCTCCAAATTTCATCAGTTTTTATTTAAAAAAAAAGAAAGTATCAAAAGTGATCAAATTTCAAAGCTGCAGCTTTTTTTTTTTAACATTTCGTTTAATCCCACTGTACGCCTTGTGTTGTTTCTGAAATATTTTAATGATATTAAAATGAGATACTTTGTATAAGCGCTGAGATCGATTTTTAATGAATTCTTTTTACATAAATAGTCATCTTTTAAGATGCTCTGTCACAAAAATTAAACAAATAGCGTGTACCATTTGGAAAGGATCACTTGTTAGTGTCGGACGCCCTGCATGCGCGATGTCGTCATTGTGTCGTCGCGAGCGAAGAGGTAGGGAGACTCGCGCGCAGGCAGCCCATTGCCAAAACTCCTCTCGCGCCGGTAGTCCCGATCGAACGCTCATTGTCAGCAACGCTTTTCTGAGCTTTCCTGAGCGGTTTAGATCTCACGATGGTGCGAGACACGAACATGGAAAAACTTCAAGATCTCGCTAACAGACTGCGTATTGAGTGTGTACGAGCGACCGAGGCGGCGAAGAGCGGGTACGATAAGAGCACTACAAGTTATTACTTACATTTTTCACATTGAAGTATAATCCTTTCTGCGCACGGGTCTTCTAACTAAGATCTAAGGATATATACCATCAGACACTTATCTCGAACTCCCTTTTATTGGTAAAAGTGCCTCTGGCCAATGAGAGAACTTATAAATTGCATTTAGAATCAGTTGTTCCAACTTCTTGGTAAGGTAACTGATAGTGTTAAATCATACATCTGTCTTTGTCTATAAGTTAAAGGAAAGACATATGATTTAATTATCAGTAAATTTATTAAGAAGTTGGAACAACCTCAGAGTCCAAGAGGCACTTTTATCGATAATTCAGAATAATGAACTAATTCTTTAATAAGCACTTGCTTTAGCTGAGATATTAGAGTTATGTTTGTTAAACACTCATTAGTTGTGATATACATAGAAAAATGTTTGGTTATAATGAACAAGCCAATGTATTTTGTTCAATCAAAATGCATTGATATACTTATGAAAATCAAATTTCACATTAATACATCAAAATTTTTTTCTCTGTGTATCAGAATTATATTAACTGTGTTTATAAGAAATTAATTTTATAGACATAAAGCAAAATTAGCATTTTATACATCTGTTTATAATTTATACAGTAATTATTATTATATATAGTTTTTATTATGATAGTAATTTGTAAAATATCAGAGAATCTGTAAAAAATATGTTTAAAGATACTTTATATAAGACCTATTTGTAAGACTTATTTACAAGGCCTGCAAAATGTGGACTCTACGATATGGATTAAAGGTCACATATACAAACCTAACATAACATATGTTTGACCTCATGATGATAACGATGATATGATTTTGAAATGATTTAATTATGTAAATGAATTCTCATTATGTAATAATCTCCGATATTTAAGTTTTTTTAAATTTTACTTAATATCGGGATTGAATTGTGTAATTCTATGTATTTCATCCCATATTTTGTGTCCGTAATTTATTTTATGTGTTTCGTTGTGTTCTAGACATCCGACGTCATGTTCGTCAATGGCAGAGATTATGTCCGTTCTTTTTTTCCATACCATGCGTTATAAGGTCTCGGAACCACGTGATCCGAACAACGATAGATTCGTCCTCAGTAAGGGTCACGCGGCTCCAATTCTTTATGCGGGTAAATTTATTAACAATTAATTATATTATGTGTATTAACACTTTTACACATAATATGTATTTTTATAATTTTATATTTATTTTACATATTTTATATATAATTTATTATATATATTTACATTTATATAATATATAATTTATAATAATATATTTTATACATTTATTTTATAACTTTAATACACTATATATATCTAATATAATTTTCAATATCGTATCTTATTTGCGTATAGCATGGGCAGAAGCAGGCTTATTCCCACCAAGCGAATTAATGAATTTGAGAAAATTCGATAGTGATCTCGAGGGACATCCTACTCCGAGACTTAACTTCGTGGACGTAGGAACTGGTTCATTAGGACAAGGTCTCTCGGTTGCTGCAGGCATGGCCTATGTGGGAAAGAATTACGACAAAGCCAGTTATCGGTACGATGTTTAAAATTCTACATCATACTATCTAATAATATAGCTAGAACAATTTATATAGTTTCTATTTATACATGGATTTTTTCACATTCTACCTTACTCAATATTACTTACATTTTCTGCCTAGAAACTCTCTGAATGCATCTTTCCCTCTTCTATATTATAATATGCCATTGTTATTTATCTTACAGTGTATATTGCCTGATCGGTGATGGAGAAGCGGCGGAAGGTTCCATTTGGGAAGCTCTTCATTTTTCGTCCTATTATAAACTGGACAATCTTTGTGCCATTTTTGACATCAATCGTCTCGGACAGAGCGAGCCAACTTCACTGCAACATAATATGGAAGTCTATCGCAAGAGATTGGAAGCCTTTGGTTTCAATGCCTTGGTCGTGGATGGCCATGATGTAGAAGAATTGGCAAAGGTAAATTTGTCAGTTATATCAAGTTCCAGAAATATTAACGTTAAAGAACTTTTGTTTCCTTAGGCATTCCATGAAGCACAAAATATAAAAGGACGTCCCACTGCCATTTTAGCCAAGACTTTGAAAGGCAAGAACTTCCCTGAAATTGAAAACTTGGACAACTGGCACGGCAAGCCTCTGGGCAATAAAGCAAATGAAGTTATTCAGGTATGTTGTGTGTGTGTGTGTGTGTGTGTGTAATATTAAAATATTACCAAACTTTAAAATTACATAATATATTAATTATATATATTAAAAAGTTAAAATATATATTAAATAGTAAATATATTAAAGTATTAATTTCCTTTTAATTTTGTTTGTGTATGTAGCATTTGACTGGACTTTTGAAAAATACAGGCCCTGCTGGATTGCATCCACAAAAGCCACTTGTAGATGATGCTCCTGCTGTTGATATCAGTAACATCACGCTATCTGCACCTCCAAATTACAAAATCGGCGACCAAGTAGCTACCAGGCTTGCATATGGCACTGCTCTTGCGAAGGTTTGTATGTCTTTGCTATTACCAATGTATTATTGACACACAAAATACGTTCTCAAGACGTTTTAAATTAATATTCATGACAAAACCTACTGTTTTATTTCAGCTGGCGAAAAATCATCCTCGTGTTATAGCTTTGGACGGCGATACGAAAAATTCCACTTACGCCGAGAAGATAAAAACGATTGACCCAGCTAGATTTATCGAAGGATTCATCGCCGAACAGAACGTTGTAGGTGTTGCAATCGGTGCCACTTGCAGGGATCGCACCGTCGCATTTGTATCGGCTTTTGCAACATTCTTCACACGCGCCTTCGATCAGGTAAGACATCAATCAGAAGATAATATATTGACAGATTCATAATATTGGATTGTATAATTAGCAATTACGAATTTTCCAGCTAAAATAAAACTATTGTATTTTTATATAATTATAATATGTGTGTACGTGCGTGCGTGCGTGCGTGCGTGCGTGCGTGCGTGCGTGCGTGCGTGCGTATGTGTGTGTGTGTGTGTAATTATACATAAATTATAATTTTGTGAAATAATGTATGCGCTATTTTGATCTATGGTTTACTGTCATCCTTCGCATACATTGTTCCATGAAATCGTAACAACATGAAAATATATAATCATTTCATAGTTAAAAAAGAATTATATAACTCAATACTTAGAAAATAATGTACTAATAAGGCAATTGTATAATTTTATCGAATGATAACACATGATAAGAGTAGAAACATAAATAACAAATGATTTTCTTACAGATCCGTATGGGCGCGATATCACAGACGAACGTGAACTTTATCGGCTCACACTGCGGCGTGTCCATCGGTGAAGACGGTCCCTCGCAAATGGGCTTGGAGGACATCGCGATGTTCCGCGCGATCCCAGGCTCCACCGTTTTCTACCCGAGCGACGCAATGTCGACGGAGCGCGCCGTGGAATTGGCAGCCAACACCAAAGGCATCTGCTTCATCCGCACCTCTCGTCCGACTACGGCGGTACTTTACAACAACGACGAACCGATGGCCATTGGTAAGGCCAAGATCATCAGGTCTTCTGCGAAAGATCAAGTGCTCGTAATCGGTGCCGGCGTGACGTTGCACGAGGCGATCAAGGCGGCGGACGAGTTGTCTAAGGCCGGGATCAGCATCCGCGTGATGGATCCGTTCACGATCAAGCCCATCGACGCGGAAACGATCGTGAAGAATGCCAAGGAAGTCGGCGGCAGGATCCTCACTGTCGAGGATCATTACCCGCAAGGAGGTTTGGGAGAGGCGGTTGCGTCCGCGGTTGCCTTGGAAAGAAACATAATAGTGAAGATGTTGGCTGTGCAGGCAGTGCCGCGTTCTGGTCCTCCCGCAGTACTACTCGACCATTTCGGTATCAGCTCTCACAAAATCCTCGCAGCGGTACGGAACATCTTGAAATATTAGCGTCATTGTTGATCAATGTTACGCCTCACAGGGAGATCGTATTGATACTAGAATCAGGAGGAACTCTGTACATGTACAAAAGATGTTTTTTATGAAGTTACGAACCTCAATAGTGCTGGCACATTCCGTCTTCGAAATATAATAAAAAGGCATAAAGCAAATATTGGAATCAGTATAATTTTGCTGGAGCATAATTTCGTAACAGTAAATATACGAAGGAAGACTTGACGCCGTTGGTTATTGCGTCCATCTATCATGTTTGATTGACACATTGGCCGCCAAAAAATTTTCTATTCAAGAAAGTTTTTTTCTTTTTCGTAGGTTTTGTTATTTAAGTTATATAAATTTATGTTATACATTTTTCTTGACGTCAATTTGAACAAGTCACTCACTGAAAAAAGTAAGGAAATATATATGGTCAGTCCTTGCTATATAATTATGATAAAATATTAATTAGATTATTTTTAAATAACAAATATGATAAGGAAAGAAACAAGTTAGCACAAGAATGGGACAAAATCAATAAAAAATAAAGGAACAATATGTAGAAGTGATTAAAAAGAATGGAAAACTATCAAAAACACACAATTTTATTTGAGAGCGACAAGAATATAATATAAAATAATATAATCAGTATATACATATGCATACAAAGAATCTTGTGCTAAATAATTAATAAATATTAAAAGCAGATTAGAAGTGTTTAAAATTAAAAATAAAAATGAAGTTTGTAATTCTTTGAGAGAGAGATATCATTTTATTTGTTCATAATTAGGCAAATTTTGCTTCTAAATTTGATCTAGACAGTTAACATGTTAATGGAAATTATTTTTATATATCTACAGCATTATAATCTAAAAAATGGCATAAATTATACTGATTTCAAGCTATATTCTAAAAAAAAAGGAAACTTAATGTACATTGAAAGTCTATTCTTAGCTGAGCTTAACTGAAATTTTATTCCATTTTTTTCGATGCTGAGTTAAAAGACCTGTTTTTTTTCGAAGAACTTTCTGAACTGGTGTAATAAATTTTTTAGAGTGAATCAAAATATACTTGTTTTACTCTAATTTATTGCATTAGTGTAAACTGATTCAGAAAGTTCTTTTAAAAGATGAACAGATCTATATACTTGTTACATTCTAAAGACAGAAAGTACAACTTAGGTTAACTAAAAAGAACAGACTTTTTGTGTATATATAATCGTAAAAAAGATTTATTTTCAACATTTAGTCAAGTGTATAGAATATTAATGATATACATCTTTATTCAATCCAAAAACTTTATATGAAGTAAAGTTTTGTATACAAGTTTATACATTGTTTTTGTAACTTGGAAAGGTTTATACAAGATTTTTTGTAAAACATATATCCATATATATTTGATGTTTCATGAATGTTATTTGTTGTAAAAACAAAAGAAAAACATTCAAATGTTCTTGTACGAAAATATTCTTGTACGACAAACAAATATAGGAGTTTCTCTAAAATTACTTCTGTTTTCTTCATTCCCACTGTGCACTCCGTTCAATTGTCAGCTTTAACTTTTGTTACAGGTTGTTACAGGTATCATCTTTTTGTTGTGAGTCATTATAAATATATATAAATATAATACGTTCGACTTGCACAATATGGTAATGTATAGTTAGCTATTAAACATTAACATAACACGTAATGATAGTAAAAGAAACGCGATCTGAATCATTTATTGCTTTCTATTATTTTCAGAAAAACGAGAAATTTATTGACTATGCATTTCGTGTGACGTAATATTCAGGAACTATAATCTACATATGATTAAATCATTTTTTTTTTCTTTTAATTTTTATTATATCTCTAGCTCCTTTTAAACGTATTTTGACTCTTTCATTGACGTGTCATTGACATATGACACACTTCCATTTATTATTAAATCATCTTTATAAAAACAGTTAATCTACTCCAAAATAGTTCGAAAAAATTTATCATATTTATTACATCCAGCAATTTCAACATGGCAGTATTTCTATTAAAAATATTCAATAGTCGCGCAATTTCGAATGGTAAAATGTAACTAGAATTCAACAGTCGCGTGATTTCAGTCGCGGCTAGCTTTATCCGGATTGGTCAGCTTCACCGAGCGAGCGTCCAATTCGCTGGCTCAACTCGACTCACCGTCCTAGGGACTCGCGCTCGTGGCGCCACACCTTGACACGTCCCTGCACGCCGCTCAGTCACTAAGGCGCGCGCATACTGTTGAGCGCAGCCAATCTCGTACGGCCGCGCGCGGCGCGCTCGCGCACTCGCAGCCATGTACGCGCGTGCGTTTCTCACTTCGTGATTCGCGTATCGCCACCATATCCCCGAAAAAGATGGCCGCCACGAAAGCGTACGGTGGTGATGTTGACGTTGTCGTTCGCACCGAGGTCACGTTACGTCTTCGCGCAGCGTAAAGATAACCGTGCGTACATGCGTCCGCGTGCGCCGTGTGAACTGTGCCGCCGTCGAGCATCGTCGCGGGTGACGAACGGACGAGAGAACGCAGAACGGGAACGGAAGTGTGTGTGAGAAAGCGAAGGTGGTGCCCGTTGATCCGTCGAGCGCGAGTGCGGTGGATTCGTATACGATCTGCACACAGTGTCTCTCTTTCTCGAGGCGCTCGACCAGTGATCGACAACGAAACGACCAGAGTAGGCGAGAGAGACGAGCAGAGAGTTAGATGGGAAGAAAGTGTGTGAGAGAAAGAGAGAGAGCGAGATAGAAAAAGGGACGGAACAGTCGGCTAGAGAGAGAGAGAGAGAGAGAGAGAGAAAGAAAGAGAAAGAGTGACGAGGCGAGCGCTGCGAAGGAACGTGCCCCTCATCGCGGCTGAGAACCAAGCTCGGGAACGTGAGACATAAGTTTCCTCGTGATCGCCTGTGCGAAAGTGAGAAAGAGCAGCAGCGCAAGAGAGGAAATAGGCAGACCCTCGAGATCGCCGGGCGCTAGCGCGTGGAAAAGATCCGGCGAAGGAGAGAGCGAGAGAGAGAGAGAAAGAACAAGATAGAGCATCAGATAACGAGACGACGAGCGAGACAGAGGCAGGCAGCGAGTAAGAGAGAAATAGGATACGCGACGTTTGTCGAGTGTGTCGTACGGCTCCGGCTAAAACGTCGTGACTGTGGGTGGTGCGTGGTTGATTCCCCGCGCGAGTGAGAACAAATGCGTGTGCGTCGTACGCGAGCTACGGGGCCGCCAGCACTGTGCGTAGCCGTCGCCGTCGCTGTTGCATCGCCGTGCCCTCTCGCCTCCTGTGTCGCACCGGAAGCAGCGAGCAGCCGTCACCACCGCCGCCGCCGCCGCTCGCTTTTACGCGCGACTCGAGCCTCCGTGTCAACCGAGGGACGGCCATATTAAACCGCCGCCGTACGCCGTCAAAGAGTACGCTTCTCGGTGCGTTCACCACCGGGCATCTCGCGAGGAGCACGCACGAGCCCCGGCCGGACGAGAAAGGGAGAGAGAGAGAGAGAAAGAGAGAGAGAGAGAGATCGCGGTGTGATCTCTCGGAGTGTGCATCTGTCGTGTGCAACGTGCGTGCGTGCGTGCGTGCGAGAAGCAGGCAAGGTACGCGAGAGCGAGGCCCTTCTCTGCCGCCGAGAGTCCTCGAGGTTTGTTTTTCCTTCCGTGCCGCCTTGCCTCACCACCGTCGCCGGATGACGGCGCGCGTACGTGGTGCGTGCACGATAGCAGTGTGTGCGACGACGAGCGGCATAGTCGACGAGGAGCGTCCCGTGCCGCCTGATGTCTACGCATCGTCTTCGTCGCACGGAGACAGCACAGCGGCTCGCCACCACGGTGTCTACCCCTACTCCCGGCAATACCACCCTTCCTAGGCCCTATGGTACCCACGTAGTAAGTACATACACAGCACGCACATTTCCCGGATCGTGGATGGCCGCGCGCGCGCGCGCGCGCGACCGGGTACGCGCTCGCGGACCGTTCGACATGTTAACCTCTTTCTTCTATGTCTGTTTCTCTCTCTCTCTCTCTCTCTCACACTCTCTCACTCGAGAGCACGTAGCCGTGGACACACGGAGCGATACGTGCTGGACGACATTGTTTACCGCCGCACGTCGAGTTGAGATAACGCGTGCCGATGCGATCTGCATCTTTTGTCCTCGTCCTAGGGATACGCGCCACTTGCCTTTGCTCTCGATATCGATTGGTTTATTGAGACTCCGCGAGATGCGATCGCCTCCGTGTTTATGTGCGCCTGCCGGGTAAGCATGAAGTAACGCTGAAGTATAGGGTGTGTGCGATTTTGCGATTTTCTTCTCTTGAATTGCAATACAATATGCACTGGACCTTAATTGCAAAATCGCGTCTGCAACATAAAATAACTCGTTATTATGATGCAGTATCTGTGTAAATATCGCGTGACAATTTATGATATTTTATATTAATCCAAATTTACATTTAGAGGCAAGATGGGATTATCATTACATAAACAGCCTTAAAATGTTAAGTTGCATTATTCTTTTTTATATGTGATTTTTTTATATATTTTTTATATGTTTCGTAGAAGATTACCAAAGATTGCTGCACTTAACACTAATTGTCATTAATATTTTAATAAAAAAAGGTAATAGTAGTCTTATTATTTTATGAGAGAAATGTTGTCAATAAAAAATTAATTAAACGTGCAACACATCCTTATATATTGCAAGTCTTAACAAGTCATTTTTCAAAATGTATGAAAACTAATGATTCGAAAATAAACATATTTTGTAAAATGTCTCTCATTTTGCCTCATATAGGAAGCATAATGAGGTTAAGTGGTATTTTTAAGAAAACATAATTTAACTTCATTTTGCTTTCATTTTTAACTGTTCTTTCACAAAACTTGTGTTTTCTCATAGTGGATATCTTAAAGAATATTTTGATGCAATACGAAGAGAGAGAGGGAGAGAGTTGATTTATTTATTTTTAATGTTTTAATATGTTTAATATGTTTTAATGTTATTTATTTTTAATATGTTTAATATTTATTAAATATTATGTTTCCCATACACACATCATGAGGTTTCCTTATGATTCAAAATCGCATTTACCATACGAAATTGCGCGCGACTTAAAATTATATTTACGACACAAAATTGTGATGCGATATATTGCATTCATTGCAATTCTTGAAGAGGTTGTCCGGTTTTTTGGAACGCATGCGTCTTGTTCAACAAAAGAATTTGTTGTACAATAAGAAAATTTTCCCATTGAACAAGACGAACAAATTTTTCGACGCCGATTGTACATATGCATGAGCGGAACGTTTATGTTGCCGCACGCAGCGTCCATATTTACCGGCGTTCGTCAGGTGGATTGTCACACGCTCGCCGCTGTTGTTTCACTCGACAAGCCTGATTGGTGGTTTGACCCTATATATTTTTTCTAATGTGCTATAGTGAAAAAGGAATTTATCCTGGACGTAGAATAGACAAGTTATCTCTTGTTCTTTCTTCTTTTTCTGGTTGGGGAGATGTTCAACGCGCCTCTAGTCAATATATTTGTCTGACGCACATATGGAAAAGAAATTTCATTTGGACGTGGAATCGACAAGTTATCACTGGATCTGTTTTTTAGGGGAGAAAGGGGGTGTTTAAGATTGCCTTTCACGTTGAAATTTGACACGCTTTCTTTTTTTTGCTTTCTTTTTATTGATAATCGCATTCATATATAACTTTTCGCTAGGTTTGTTCTTCACAGCTATATACTAAAGTGCATTGCCTGCACATACAGTTGGAATTAAACTGACACATATTTCACACTGAAAGATACGCGGAGAGAATATTATTAGTTATATTAGTTTTCTTTCGTATAAATCCTTTCAAATTTTACTATGTTTTTAATAATTCAGGAAAATAGTAAGATCTATCTTGGTAAGGAACATAATAAATTTTGCTAGAAACATAGTAAGTGTTTTAATATAGTACATTTCAGTTCCTCAAATATATGCAGCACATATAATAAAAGGACAGTGTGAATTATTGCAGAATGTTAATCTATTTTTCGGTCACAAAATCCTATAGTGATTTTTACTATAAAATTTTCTTCGTGGACATATCTGACATTGCAAAACACATTTTCTTCTCTCTTTCACCAGAAAAGTGTCTCTTTCTTTCTCTCTCTTTCTTTATCGTTACGCAGAAAAGATTGCTGAAAAAATGTACCCTTTATAGAAGATATATTTATTTATGCAAAATTGATATCGCGCAAGATACATTTTCTTTTTTCTTTCACCAAGAAAGTATCTTCCAAAAGATATATTTGTTGCATCTTCACTTCCTTTTGGATGCTTAAGTACAATTTTTTAAAAGCTTTTATCTCTCTCTTTCTTTATCGTTGATTCTCTCGTTACGTGAAAGAGACTAATGAAAGATATATCTCCCAAAAGATTCATTTTTGATGCGAAAGAGAAAAAGACGGAGAAGAGACAAGGAGGTGGTTCAGCAAGCTGCGAAAGTTACGAAAGCAGAGCAGCACTCCATACACACACACACACACATACACGTAACGTCGGTCTCTCTCTCTCTCTCTCTCTCATGAAAGAGTCGCACATGTGCGACGTGTGAAGATTTCCGAGATGTGTAACCCTTCGTGCGCGTTCGCAGTTCGAATGTGTGTACACGCGCGTACACATCCATACAGCGATCTCGCGTTTGAATAATGTGATGAGACGTATCGAGATTTCGAGCGGACGCGAAGCCCTCTCCCTCTCCCTGCTCTCTCTCTCTCTCGCGTCTCCCTTCCCTTGTGCATTCAAGGATGAACGTCGTCGAGTGGCGTTCGTGCCCGTTCGTGTCGATTATGCAGATCGGAGGTGACTCGCGATCTCCTCGCCCGTGTGTGTGTGTGTGTGTGCGTGTCCACGGATACGCGTAGCTCTCATATTTACCGATGTTGATTAAACATATTGAGAGGTGTCAGAGCGTGTAACCTCCTCGCTGACACGTGCCGCGCGGCGTTCCGCGTGGAGCGTTACGTAACTCGCGTCGTGACAATGTTGATTGGATGTATTGAGTTTCGGGCACGTTGTGATCCCTCCTTCTCTATCGGGCGTAACTCGAAAATAGGCACAAAAGGTAAAAGTTTGCCGTGCTAAGGAAAAAAGTGATTAACTGCATTTGCCTTCAAACTGAGAAAATCGACGAAAACTGCTTAGAGAATCGTAATGGAAAAGTAAATCTGTATGAAAACAAAAGCATGTATTGGGTAAATCGGGCACGCTTTTTTTATTCTGCAACAAAAAATTAATTTTTTAAATATTTACTACTCGAAAATGCACTTAAGGCTCTTGCTTTTTGAAAATACAAGAGAAAAGAATTCGCAAAGTGACTTAATAGTTTTCTGGCTATTTTGTCATATTCGAAATTTTTACTTAAAGGTAACCCGTTTTTATTTCAATAATTAATAATAATTTTTAGTTTTTGTCAATACAGTTAGACGTAGTTCTTTGTCACGAATCTATTGATATAAAAAACTCATTTTTCTTAAAAATGTGATTTAACTACTTTTTTCCTTGGCACGACAGAAGTACCAATTTCACGGACACGTGTCCAATCCTGGACATTTTTATTGTTTTGGTCTTTAATCTAAACTTCCAAAGTTGCACTCTAAGACATCTTTTTCGAGAAAAATTTTACACAATACTTTATAGTTCATGTTACATATACTATAGAGTATTGAGTAAAATTTCTTCAAAAAGGTCGTTTTGGAACACAAACATGGAATGTATGTATACACTCAATGTTTGTATGTATATTTTTATGTTGAAATTCAAATTTGTATTTAAAGAATGACAAACAATAAGAGTGTCCAGTTCAGTGTTATCAGTGTTCAGTACTTTTATCTTACTGTAAGTAAATGTGTATTGCTTGTTTCGAGTATTTGTTTTCTCATAGTGGACATCTTAAAGAATATTTTAATGCGATATGAAGAGAGAGAGGGAGAGAGAGTCGATTTATTTATTTTTAATGTTTTAATATGTTTTAATATGTTATTTATTTTTAATATTTATTAAATATTATGGTTCCCACACACATACATACACACACACACCTCGTGAGGTTCCCTTATGATTCAAAATCGCATTTACTATACAAAATTGCGCGCGACTTAAACTACTCCATGAGTTCGTGTATTCGCCAATCTATCGTGAGTTTGTTATATGAGCATCAAATTCATGCGAAATACATTCTGAATCCTAATAAGTTTAACATTTTAATCAAGACTATTAAGTTAGAATAAGAATTGGCGCCACATAGCATCGAATCAACTTTCTCTTCAATAAAGTTCCATAATATTCTTGTCGAGAGAATAAATTCTGTTGAGTTTACACGATAATGAACTTTCTTAAAATTTATGATGAGTATACTTTAAGACTATTATCAAGGAGATATTCTCTGTCGGGAATAACCGTTGCTTGAAAGAAGAAAAGTGCGCGAAGTGATCGCCTTTCTCAACAATAGAATTATCTTTTTTTGTGTGTGTATGTGTGTATGTGTGTGTTCACTAGTGCGCGGAATTTCGCTTTGTGACGCCCGACATGATTGACTGACATATCGTTACACAATTAGATGTACAATTAGAATGGTATTACACCGTGTAATAATACCGTTGGTCGATCGTATCGTTTCGCGAAGATACGTCATCGCCGAGCAGGTCATGAGCCGCGTTGAAGGCTTGCACGTGCACATTTGCGGACAGTTGATAGAAATCGAGACTAATGAATTATCGCTCGCGCACTCGTCCATCGCGTTCCTCGCGACGCCAGATCAAATGAATACAGCGTAAGAAATAAGACACCCTGTGTAATTGAGTCCAATTATACGATCCGATATCCCCGTCTTCTTCTCGCC